CGGGGCGCGGTGGGCGGGGAAGGGTTTTGGACGGCGGCGCGACGGCATTGGTGGAACGCGGAGTCCTCCGGTTGTGGACCCCAGTGGGCCCCATGTTCACGGGATGTCATTTTTCAGTTATTTTTCTGGGGGTGGTTGGCAAAATGTTTGAACACAGTACAATCCCTTCAGGGGAGTGTCGTGCCCGAAATGAGTTTATGCAATTTTTAATCGCCCAAGTAAAGCGAAGACTCATCGGCTCGCACTATTTGAGTCTTACTTACCAAATCCCCTCTCTCAAGAAAGTGAGATTTTTCTAAGATCGCCCAATTATAGTGAGGAACCTCACTCACGTTGGATGAGGACTGTAAATTATAACTCAAATAGCGTGAGAGGGATAATATCCGGCTTCCTCTTTGCATGCACATAACACACTAGCCAAACAAAGCGCCTGTAAGCTGCCCCTCACCCTACCCACCTCGTGTGTTTTTCATTCCCTGCGTAACACATTTACAACTCGTACGCACGCGCCATCCCCTCGCCCCTTGACCTGTCGGCGGCCGAGTAGATTCCTCGTTGGTCCAGGTCCGGCGGCCCAGCCTGCCGTCCGGGCGTCCGGGGCCCCCAGCACAGGAGGCGGGGGGCCGGGGGGCAAGGGGGGCCGGGACCCGGGGGTGCGTGGTCTCACAAACAGACCTGCCCTGCCGCTACCACCAAACTTTGGCTTTTGGTTGTCGGGAGTGGGGCTGTTGGGCTATGGCTCTACCGCGCCGCGCCCCGCGCCCCGTGCGGGGAACAAGGCGGCCGGGCTTATGTGTATCTTGGCAACCCATTCCCCACGCCATCGTCGCCCCGTCCGCGCACGTCCCCATTGGCACCTACGGCGCGGAGCGGGTCCCGCTCGATCTCGCTTCATTCCAACGTCCCGGAAGTGTGCCGCATCTGGGCGTGCACGGTGCAGCGTCCTCACTGTGAATGCCAGAGTCGCTCTCCAGAGAACAATTCTGAATTGTTTCTGCACGACATCTCGCAGGAAAATTTCCCTGTACCCCGGTGCGTCATTTCAACAGATGATGCATTTCAAACATTTTATACCGAAACTAAATAATAAATATAAAAATGTGACAGAATGCTTTTACTGATGTCGCCCGCCGCCCGCCGCGGCCTGTCCCGATACTACAGTCCGGCCGGCCAAAGATTGCCATTAATGTAGCACCAGCCTGACTATACCCAACAATACTGGACCTTCCCGGTTCCGCTCCCTCCGCTCTCCCCCTCGTAGTTGTATGTAATATAAAAACCGCCTGAAGCGCGAAATCTAATTATAAGCTAGCAAGCAAATGGGTGCCTCAAATCACACCCCTTTTCCCGATCAGTGCACAGCTGGAAGTTAGGCAGATTCATTAGGCAAATCACGGAAGCTCGACGCCTGCGAAACTCGGGCTAGGCCGACCCGCGGTACACGCAGGCATTGCAGGCAAGGTGTTGCCTACCCACCGGGCGCTATGGGAGCTTGCATCAGCCGAACTTCGCAGTTCAGTGGCGGAGAACGACGGGCGTACTTTCTAGATGATCCCTTATAGGCCAGGAAACAAAGTCCACTGGGAATACCCAAAAGTGGATAAATTGAATCTCCGGAAAAAAAATCCCATAAAATATTTAAAAGAATAATAGCTTACAAAACGTATGCCAACATATAAACATCACTTGACACTTGAGTGAGCCAAAACTGCCGTAGAATGAGAATGGTTATGGGGATAGCTATCTAGCCTTTCACTAGTTAGGGATTTTCTTGAAAGTATTGCGGTATGGCGTTTCTCGCCCTGAGAAGCAGAACGATGTAGTTTGGGTGAGTATTGCCAATAAACCAGCCTACGTTGGCGTCCTATCTGACTAGATCATTGCCAGAGAAGACGACCGTCTGCACAATCCTATCGCCCTTCTCCTCTTTAAATCACCCTCAAATATGTGATTTTCACGGCACGGCACTAGTGCTGTGAGTCACAGAGGCTGCCCAGAACTGTCAAATTTTTTCTTAATTTCTCTGAATAATGCACTTTTGGCACTTTCTGTGTGAGCAAGTCAGGCTTACTTTCCTTCTACAAGGGCTTTCGAACCTGTTGTCCGCTGTACGCCAAGTTTTGAGTGGTGAAGAAGATTCAATAGTTTGTCACAATCTGTTCACTCCGATAATTTTGTTTTACAAAACCTGGAGTGGGTTTCAATGGACCCATTCGCTGGGGTAGACTTGGTGCGGGGACACACTAGGCTAGGCGGCAGTCCACGGTTCCCTCCTGCCGATCCTTCGGGATGCTTCCCTTGCCCGCGGCTTGCACTCACTCACCTCGCAGTCCGTCGGTCGGGTGTCCTCCGTGCGGCTCGTGCAGGTCCTGCTGGCCCTGCTGCTGGTCCTGATGGTCCTGCTGCTCTCCTGCTGTCCCGCTGCGTGCCTGCCGTGCCTGAGCCGTGAGTCCCGGCGTGTCCCGTGCTAAGCGCCAAGTGGTCGCGGCTGCCTGCTGCGGGGCCTCATATAGACCGGGCAATACATAGTAAGCCGGGTGTTTTAGAGCAGAC